CCTTGTTATCTGGGATGACTACTTGTTGGCTGGATTGGATATGATGAGCTGAATAGCCTCCTTCTATGAATTAAATTTCTGTGGTTAGATTGTCTCTTGTTGGACATGATCATTTCCTGACACTTGTGAGTCATGAATGTTAACTTGCCACTTTTTAGCTCAAAGGTGAAATTGAAAACATTACACCTCTCCTGCAGGGATGGTGAGTCACCTCCTTATCCAGTGTCACCTGCTGGCTAGGCTCAAGGTTGACTGTCGTGTCACCAGTTGTTTAGAGAAGAGTCAATTTGTTATGAATTTATAACCCAACATGATTTAGTAACTTCAGGAGAGGAGGAAAAACATTGGAGGCAAAAATTAAGATTAAAGCTAACCTGTATCAGCCAGCCGGAAACAGAACTGAAGGAAGCTGTGGTCAGGCTATGACCCATCTTCCTTAAAAACTGAAGAATGTTGTTTGGATTCAATTCATACATTTTTAAAAAACTATTCATGGATATACATGTCACTGGCAAGGCCAATATTTGTTACCCATTCTTAATTGCCCTTGAGGTAATGATGAGCCACTTTCTTGAACTGCTGCAATCTGTGGTACAGGTCCATCCACTGTGAATCACCGGCACTTCATGGTGCGTCTGGTATCATGCTGCTAGAGTCACTCGTCTGGTTCTATTTCATTTTGGCTTCATCTTAGGACTGTTATGAAAAACGTGAGGCTTTCGAAATATGTTTCAATAGAATTGAGTTGGCTCAGGCTATTCAAGAGCTAGCACCTGCTTAAATAAAGTAACAGTGAGTATTATAATCAATGAAGGACTCAGATGTAATTGTAGTCAAAGTTGCCTTGGAGGATCCTTGAATCTGTTTTAAGTCACATGAATGATTAACAGTGATAAATTATCATGATAAAACTGTTGACATAACACTAATTTATGAAGTTATGAAGTGGTTGCATTGCACTTATATTGAGTGTAGCCTCTAGAGGCAGCTGAAATGCAGCAATTCAACTTAGATTGTGACTTTCTAATTCTTGGTCAGCATCTGTCTATAGCAAATGGTCTGCAGGCCATTTACTTTTAAGCGTTTATGGATAAATGAAGGGTACTTTCTTTGCTAGATGCAGAGTCGAAGACCAGGGCAGGCAGGCTCAAGAAATGGTAAATGTCTCTTATGAATCAGCCTGAACTTGCCCTTTACTGAAGGGACAAATGATATGCAATTTCTAGCTGTAGGCATGGGCAAGTGAAAAGTTCAAACCACCAGTCTTAGTTGGTGCTCAGTTAGTGAGCAAATGGTTCTTCAGTTCTGCACCCCTGGGCATTAATTCATGACTGGTCATTGTAGTTAAATTCCAGAGTTGCATCGTTTTTGTGAAGAAAGCTAGCGCTGAGAGCAAGTCCCTGGCAGTTCATACAGTAATTTAGAAGGTCTTGCTAAAATAGAATAACGACTTTGACAGGCTTTTTTCTTTCCCTGCTGAGATGTACGAAGAACAATACAGCACAAGAACAGGCCCTTTGGTCCTCCAAGACTACGACGACACATGGTGCCTTTCTAAACTAAAAACCTTTTACCTTTACGTGGCCTAATATCCCTCTATTGCATGTCTATTCATATATCTGTCAAGATGCCTCTGAAGCACTGCTGGTGTATCTGCTTCCATGATCACCTGTGACAGTGCATTACAGGCACTTACCACTCACTGCGTAAAAAAAATTGCCTCTCACATCTCCTTTAAACTTACCCACTTGTACTTTAAACATATGTCCCTTAGTAATTGACACTTCCACCCTGGAAAAAGACTATAATGGATGCATTCTATCCTTGCTTCTCATAATTTTGTAAACTTTTATCAGGTCACCCCTCATCTTTCAATATTCAGGTGTATTTGAGTTTGTCCAATCTCTCATAGCTAATACGCTTCAATCTGAGCACCATTCTGATAAACCATTTCTACACCCTCTCCAAAGCATCCGCATTCTTCTTGTAGTGTGGTGACCAGAACTTAATACCAGAACTGTGGCCTAACTGAAGTTTTATACAGCTGCACATGACTTGCCAATTTTCACACTCTATGTCTTGACTGAATAAGGCAAGCATGCTGTATGCTGCCTTGACCAACTACCCATATGTGCTGCCACTTTCAGGGAAGTGTGGACTTGTATACCTATATTCCTCTGTATCTTGATGCTACTAAGGGTTCTGCCATTTGCTGTATACATCCCTCCTATATTAGATCTTCCAAAATGCATCACCTTGCATTTGTTCAGATTAAATTCCATCTACAGTTTCTCAGCCCAAAGCTCCAGCCTATTTATATCCTGCTGTATTCTCTTGCAATCCACCTCGCTATCCGCATCTCTCCTAATCTTCGGGTCATTCACAAACTTACTAATCGGACTGCCTACATTCGCCTCCAAATTATTTATATATATTACAAACAACAGGGTCTAAGCACTGGTCCCTGCGATTACCACTGTGCACAGATCTCCAGTCAGAAAAAAATACGCTTCCACTTGTACTCTCTGTCTTCCATGACCAAGCCAGTTTTGTATCCATCTTACCAGCTCACTGTGGATTCCATGTGACTTCACCTATTGTATCAGCCTGCCGTGAGGAACCTCGTCAAAGGCCTTGCTAAAGTGCGTAAAGACAGCACCTATCAGCGTCCCCTCATCAATCCTCTGACACTTCCTGAAAACTATCAAGTTTGTGGAACACAACCTTCACCGCACAAAGCCCTTCTTAAATAAAGGAACAAAGTTGGCTCTTCTCCAGTTGTCAGGGAGCTTTCCTGTGATTAAGCAGGATACCAAGATTTCATACAAGGCCCCAGCAATTTCCTCATCTGCCTCCTTCAGCATTCTGGATAGGTCCCATTAGCTCCTGGGGACTTGTCGAACTTAAAGCTTTTTAAAACACCCAACACCGCCTCCTTCATTATATTGACATGCCCCAGAATATTAACATACTCTTCCCGAGACTCCCTATACATCATTTCCTCCTTCTTTGTAAATACCGATGCAAAGTATTTGTTACAGACCTCACCCACTCCCTCTGGCTCCGGTATAAATTCCCTTCTTTGTTCTTGAGTGGACCTACTCTTTCCTTTGCTACTCTCTTGCTCCTAATATATGTATGAAACACCTTGGGCTTTTCCTTAATCCCGTTTGGCAATGATGTTTCATGGTCCCTTTTAGCCCTCCACATTCCTTGTTCGAGTTCTTTCCTATTATCTTTGTATTCCTCAAGAGCTCTGCCTGTCTTCAGTGTCCTAAACCTTACGTATGCCTCCTTTTTGACTAAGCTCACAATTTCTCGTCACCTAAGGATCCTGAATCTTACCATCCTTATTCTTCATTTTCACAGGAACATACTGGTCTTGAATTCTAGTCAACTGGCCTTTAAAAGATTCCCACATGCCAGATGTGGATTTACCCTGGCTGTTGGGAGTGATTGCACCCTTCCTAATCCTGAGCTCTACCCATATGGCCTCGCTGGATGAGCCCTCCAAGGTGTTCTCCCTCAGTACAGCTGCGTTGTACCACTTTTACATCTCTCTCTATCAACCTGCAACATGTAAATCCTGGCATGTTAAGCTGCTAGTCTTGTCCCTCTCTCAACCAAGTCTCTGTAATAGCTACAACAACATAGTTATATGTAGTCATCTATGCTCTTAAATTCATCTGCCTTACCTGTCATATGCCTTGCATTAAAACAAATACATTTCAGACTTGACCTCTTTTTTTTGGCAGTACCATGCAATGGAGCCAGTGTAATTTGTTTCTCTATGCTAAGGTCTGTCACTTAAGAGTAGACCCCAAGTCAACTAATTGGATTATGCCCAGTGCTCCCTAAAACGTTTGTTTGCTAAGTGAGGCCTGTTTGTTTCACTGTGTGATTGCTTTAAGATTGCTATGCAACCACGCATGTACACATCTTAAAAGGAACATCGATTGTGTTTTGCTTGTTGTTTCTCCAGCGCAGTATGTTTCAAGTTTCTGTGCAGCAGTACTGGGAATTGTCTTGTCAATGTCTTTTAAAATTAGTGCTTGGGGTGTCATTTGGTCTCAGAAACTTGAAATTCCTTAACACAATTTAACTCTGTTGTATGATTTCAAAATTTTTGCTGCCCTTATCGTGGAAAAGAATACCGGATTCTAACGCCACTTGCTTGATAAAGTGCATTCTGACATTATTCTAAGCTTGCCTTTTCACAGTTTTTTTTCTTGAGTGTCAGCATCCAACTTCATTTATTGCTCACGTAAAGCTTGACTAAAAATGATGAAACATGTTGCGCCAGGTTGGTTTGGTTTACTGCTTCATGCGTCGTCTTTTCAATGTTTGTCGCTGTTTCAGTCATGCATAAGACATGCTGTGCCCTGCCGTGTACCGGCTTCTATCCATCCCACTGCTGATCAGTGCTAAGGCTTAGTTTTGTTGTAGAAATGCATGTTTCAGCACTGATGTCTCTGCGTCTACTGTCAGTTGCTATCTTATATACTTATTTTAACTTAGTCTCTCATTTAGTCATCTACCAAGTCAATGGTCCATAATCATTCCTGGCTTTAGATTTGTATAGACGAAAGAAGGATCAGAGACATTGGGTTTACTAGCTCACAAGGTTGTGAAATTAACAAGACAATTTACCCGTTACTGGACAGTGCATTTCTTTACTGCAGCTCAGTGAGTCCTTTTTGTCAGCACTGCTATACCTGACAGGTGTCCTGTTCTATTTGGAGGATGCCGTGTCCTGAAAACAGTCGGCTGGTTTGTAGGGCAACTTCTTAACCACAGTGCTCTGAAGCCTCCGAGAGGTCAGTGTACATTGTCCAAGATTGGGAGGCAGCACAAGTGAACGACTTTTTACCTGCATGATTTTGTAAGGTGCAATTTAAACAGAAGTAATTGTTGACTTGATGAATGGTGAGACAATGCATGTATAGCGCACCACTGATAAAATCTTTGACTGATGGATGCCTTTTCTGTTCTCATCTCAGTTTTCAGCTGACCGTGGAAATGTTTGATTATCTGGAATGTGAGCTCAACCTTTTCCAGGCAGGTAAGTTAGGAATTTTGACTTTATATTGAATTGAGCACTGAATTTGGTTATTATTTCCTCATATATTACAAAGGATATTATATATGATCTTGTGACTCGTTGCACAGCAATACATCAACCAAGTTAGCATTAATGCAGTTGCCATAGGCCTAACTGCTTTGAAGTAGAATGGGTGATACTCCCACCAGTTCTTAAAACTGGATAAATGTGGTTATCAGTTACACACTGACCTTCTGTAATTCTGTCCTCTTGGGTCAGTTTGCAGATCTATATCTCTGATTCAGAAGAACTAGTGCTCACCCCCACTTCCAAGACTGAGCACGGTCTAAACTGACACACTAGCGCAGTGCTGAGAAACTGCTACTTTGTCAGAAATTCCATACAATGGGTGACACTTCAAATTGAGATTATCTCACTCCTATTTTGATGTTTCAGTCAAAAAAATTCAACCAATGTAGTCTAACAACGAAGACTGTGGAAAAAAAATGTACAATTTAACTGGAATTAATCTCACTTTTTGTGGGTCCGTACAATGACTGCACTTCTTTACATAACACTGGCTGTACTTAATAACTGTTGGACTTGAAGGACTTTGGGATCTCTTGAGAAACAGGATTAAAGCAGTACATAAATATAAGTTTATTCTTTCATGGTTGATGATCTTGCAAAAAGACAATGGTTGCATTGAGCATCTTGGCTGTTCATGTCTGTTTGATATCTACTGCCTGTAGAGAGAAGAATTCTCTGAAGCAATTTAAAAAAGGCAATATCATGAATTACGCAGTCTGTGTGTGTGCGTGCATGCATATATTATAGACAACTTTGATTCTGTTACACTTGAAGCATCACACTTCAGGACAGATGTAAAACAATCCATTTTTTTGAAAAAGGTTTTTTCTGCTGCTTAAGTGCAGAGGACTAATTCCTCTTCAATAGACTTAAAAATGTGCGCTTGAACTTTATGGTCTTGAAAAGACAGGCTCTACTGAACATAACAGTGCATTTGGAGCACAGCAATAAACATTGCTGAAAAGAGAAAAATGTTGCCAATACACAATGACTAATGATCTGATCAAGACAGTAATTTTCTGTGTTTTTGAGCCAAAGTCTCGATAGTGGCAAGGCTAGTTCTGTTAGATTTGGCGTCCCATAACTACTTTCATATTACTATAAATACTACCTTGGAAGTCAGCATTTTGTCAACACAAACTGTGGAAAATAGCTGAACTGAAGCAAATTCCTAACTTTGTTTTGAAGTTAAGATCATCCACTGCTAAAATGCTGAAAGCATACATTCCTCAAAAGTGGTGCTATATAGGTTTCACATGATCTATTATAACAGATCGATATGTATTTTGCTTTTAAATTCCACTCAATTCAGAAGTTTCCAAGCAAATTACTCTAAGAGAAAAAGAGAAATTCAGGGTGGACACTCAGCTCATTGAAATTGCAAAAGGACCTGTTATTTACATGGATGTGGCCATTAATGATGTAAGTCAGTGAACTAATTTGTTTTTGGATCAACAAATGTTATGCACATTTTAAAATTTGTGACAGTTGCTCAAGTAATCCAACAGTTAGGAAACAGTGATGTTTCTAAATGAAGTAAAATGGTCATTCTGTCGGATATTTTATTCAATGCTGCTATCAGACTCAAATTCTGAAGTGTGCAAGTTTCTTTCATCCTTTGGTACTCAAAACAGTGAAACAGTGTGTACAGGCTGAGGTAAACTGGTTTGTTTGTGTCTGGCAGAGCCTGTGACTATGATGTTTCAGTGTGTGATGCAAAGAAAGGATGTGGTTAAAAGCTTGAAATAAACAAATGACATCATTGAAGGGTAAATGTGCTTGGCTAACCTGGAAATCACTGGATTTAACATCAGATTTTTATATTTTTAAAAAACTGACTCAAGATTAGCTTGCACTCATGTTTTTAATTGATTTTAAAATATTAATTTGTAAAGTCGTAACCTATTAACAAAAAGAAATAAAACTCAAAAAATTGGTAAATTAAATCACGTGTCATTCTTCAGACTTGGTTGATGCGGGGGACCTGTGTCTGCCCAGGGCTTTGAGCTGTCACTGCTGCATGTTTACATTATCACAGAGGTATCTTTACTAACTTGTTCTGAAATGAGAGGTTTAAATGAGACTCTAATTTTAAGTGTTGCCTCGAGATGGTATGTTTTACCATTATGGATGTCATTGGAGTACAGCAGATTTTGGAATGGGAAACCAGAAGCTTGGGCACAATGAAACGTACTATTCAGGATACACTATTAGTTTGTTCAACTTATAGAAACTCTCACTCTTTATGTTGTGGCTATTGATTTGGCAAATCTCAATCAATTTTACACTGTCACTATCCTTGCTTATCCAAAAGTGTCCCCATTCAAAAGTGAGGAAAACTGCCTTCATTTAACTGTGACAATGGATGCAACACTTGGGCATGACTTAGTTCCCATCTGCTTACGACTGGTTATATACTAAATGTGCATAGATCACCGCAAGTTACCTTTACTTCACTACTTATTAACAAAGCTCGCAATCAAGTATTGAAACAATGCAATAAAAATAAGACCCCTCAAGTAAGCAAATTAAACCTCACAGTCCAACTTTGCTATTAAAAAATTAATGGTGAAATTTAGCTATAATTCCAACCAACAGCGTCTGTCTCTGATGCCCAGGGTTTGATTCTTGTGCACTATTGTTTGAAGTTCAGCTAATGAAGGGTTCTGGAGTTGAAGTCTTATACAGATTTTTGTCCTTTCAGTTTATGGTGTGATAATATTGATGATTTTTGATTCTTTCATCCAATATATTGATTACTCTTTTGGCGTCCTTGAGTCTGTAGCTTGCTTCCTTATCAGAGTAACTCCTTTGTTCCTAGTTACATTCAGTGTTAGCTGTCTGTTTGAAAAAACAGCTTTCCTTGATTAACTCTTTAAATTCTTCTGCGGGGCAATCATTTGTCTTTGTGGCATGAAGTAGTTATCAAGCAGATTTCAAAACCGTTTTGTTTATGTAGCCTCGACTCCTCCTTTTCTAATTGCTTTCAATTCCTGTATATGTTTGCCCTTGCCCACTAATAGTTTATTCCAGACGGAGGTTTGCTGCTTGTTTCAAACTATGAACAGTTATTAAAGTTCTGAAGTTTACTCTATCACAACTGGAAGCACTGGAATGTGAGGTAATTAAGGCACTGTGAGGAATGTGGTGCACCCAAAGGTGAAATTACTTGGATGACCATAAAAACTATTTTGGAAAATCAGAAAAAGAAGCCATAGATTGCTGAACAGGCAATGATTATGCCTGCAGAACTGTTGCTGCAGTGATATGTGCTAAAATACTTTTCCCTTTAATTTTGCAGTCTTCAGTTCCCTGGACATGTCAAGATCAGTGTCTGTAACAGCGGCTGGTCAGTGTCGATTAGCTCCTCTAATCCAGGTTATTCTTGACTGCAGTCACCTGTACGACTACACTGTTAAACTTCTCTTCAAGTTACACTCCTGTAAGTATGCATGAGTTATTTGCTTCATAAGGTAACTAGTGGCACATGTTTCTCGCCATACAGTACCATGTGTATCTATCTGTTTGTCATATAATCGTAATAAGTGAGTCAATGTCAGGCCTATGGAAGTGAAAAGTGCATTATTGAAGATATTAGATGTTCTATCAAATGCTGTACATGGGGTACCTTTGCAAATATTATATTTTTTTCAGACTATACCAGCTACTAGAACTGCAATAATGAAGGCAATATTTTAAAATTATGATGTTAACATGAAATTTATTAACAAATTCTCTTGAACTTACAGATAAATCCAACTTGAAAATGTGGCCTTCAGCAATCTCTCTTGCAGCTATGACCAACTTGCTATCATTAGACTGAGATTTTCAGTCAATAGATGTGTTTGAGTTAGTTGAAACGTAATCTAACCTAAAAACAGCCTGTGCTTGTCACATGAGCCTCAGAGCCCAATTATTCATGTCATCTTAACAACAAAAACAAAGTTGCTGGAAAAGCTCAGCAGGTCTGGCAGCATCTGTGAAGGAAAAAACAGAGTTAACGTTTTGGGTCCAGTGACCCTTCCTCAGAACCTTCCTCATCGGACCCGAAACATTAACTGTGTTTTTCCCTTCACAGATGCTGCCAGACCTGCTTTTCCAGCGACTTTGCTTTTGTTCCTGATTTACAGCATCTGCAGTTCTTTTGGTTTTTATTCGTGTCATCTTATTTTCTTTGCCTTGTCTTTCTGTACTTTGCCTCCTTTTATTGGAGAATCTGGCTGTCAGGATTCTGTGGGATTGGTGAGCTTGGGAACTGTAGAATTGGCAAACGTTTTGCTGTAAGGAGAGTTGGTCATGGCTGATGTAGATCCTATCTCTTTCTCTCCCTGGCTGTTTAAATAGTTGGACTGTACACCTCTCAAACCCCTGCAAAAAGAAGCAGAGAGAACCACATACCAGGAGAGCAATCTACCTTTGATTGACTAGAAACTCCCATTAAAACCATGTGATGGAACCTCTTTACCACTGCTGTAGCTGCAAATATGACATGGATCATTGTCTACAAGTAGTGGTGAATTTTGTGATTTATGAAAAAGAATAGTTTCCTTTTTTAAAGTTGCATTTTATACAGTAAATGTTGAGTACTATCTGATTAAAAAGTGCAGCAGCTAAAACAGCTATGATGGATTAACTGAATGAGTTGAGGAAGAACAGGTCCGGTGCTGATTTGGAGTGGGGATCTACAGGATCGGTGTGTCTGGTTATTGGCAATCTGAATGTTAATTTTGATTAGGGACTACTTCTTCAGGCTGAGGAATAGTATTGCCTCATTTCCAGTTTTGAAACTAAGCTGTTGAGGGTGCAAGCTCTTTTAGCCCAGTCCACAGCTTTCAAATGAATGTTGGAACTTGAATATAAATCCATTATTAAATCTGAGATTCAGCCTTGCCATTCATACATTTAGGGAACAAATATTTTTATCCATCAGTTGACGTGGTTACTTGCTGTTACTCAAATAAATTCATTCTGAAAACAGGAAGTAACAACATCTAATTATAAGTTAAGAATGTATAAAATATTTTCAGCATCTTGCACCCCAAACAGTGATCTGATTGTATCTGATTTTTGACCATCTTAAATGCCTTTCCCTAGTGGGAATCATTCTCAGAACAATTAACATTTTTTTATATGTTTTTATGTTACTGATTTAATTAGCAGTATTTTATCTCCAACTGCCTTATTGAAGATCAGATTTCAAATTACATTTTGTTTCCAGGTCTCCCAGCAGATACTTTACAAGGCCATAGAGACCGATTCCATGAGCAGTTCAGAAAGTAAGTTACAACAAGCACTTTGCATATCTCCTCTGTCAGCGCTTTACCTCAAAGTAATTAACATTCTGAAAACAGGATGAAGGTTATCTATATTACTGTTCGTCTTTCTTTACCATTACCAGTATCCCAGTAACCATTTAGTGTTTTTGCTGAGTATTGGTGCTTTTGAACGTCAACTTTCTCTAATGTACTGCCTGGGGAAGAGTTTCTTTCTGAAAGCTGTTTTGATAGCTTTGAGAACTACAACCAAAAGAACCATGTAGTACTTTTGATGTTGCAAAATATTTCAAGGCTTTTCACAATTTGCTTTCAGACTTGAGAGAGTAAAAAGCATGCATTAATAAAGTGTCTTTCATGCCCACAAGGTGCCCTAAAGTACTTCACAGCTAATGAAGTGTCTTTGAAGTGAAGTCACTGTTGTAATGTAGAAAATGTGTTAAAATGAATTTAAAGGAATTGACCAAAGGGGTGCCGAATAAAATAGATTTTAATAAGGTTGTTGGAGCTGAGAATGTAATAAGATGAAATTAAAGGTGTTAATAAAGGAGCTAATGCGGTCGGCTAGAGAGAGCAGGGGACACTCAGTGACCAAAGTAGAAAGGTAGAAGGTAAAAGATGGGGCACAGGACTGGAGGATTGACTTGAAAGAATATAATGAGGATTTTTATATTGCTCCATCCTTTGAGTAAGGTGCCTTTATATCTGAGCACTCTGAGCATAAACCCCTAGAGAATTAATTGATATCTAAATGAACCAGTTTTAAACGTGTGTTTCAGTGAGTTGCAACCATTCTGTTCAAAGCATTACATGTATTTAATTCCTTCATTAATTTTAATATGATTTTCTATCTCTAAAACCTCTCTGCCTCATGAACTCTTGTGTTGGCTGTTGTTAATATTTCAAGATTTTGTGAATTATGAATACGTCTTGAGATTTTGGTCAAATTGTCACTGGTGTTTTCCAGGGCTTGCCATCAACTTATGTACATTTGTTCACGATCAGTTTGCTTGTGCACCAATATCCTTGGTTTCATTATTGTCACTGTGCAGTTCAACAGCTTATCTGAATTCAAATTTTGAATAAATCCAAACTCAGTGTGGTTCAACATCAAGAGCAAAGTTAGCCTATTTCATTATCACTGTAAACTACATTGTAGCCTCTGATTGCAGCCATCTTCCGGGATGTTCACTGAGCATCCTTGGTGCCCACACAAACTCAAGACATGTTAGTGAAGTGCTCAACCTATAGCCCACATTAAGTTCATTAACAAGGCTGCCTACTTTTGCTGCTGAACCATTGTGCTTATCTGTTCTTCTTTGCAAAGTGCTTCTCAAATCTTAATTCAAGGTTTTTTTTTACAGCTAGATTCAACTTTCCCATACTTTTTCACAAACCTAGAGACTCATCTTACATAAATTCTGACTCATATAGAAATGTGCTTCCTGGATTTATCCTTGATCTACATTGGCTCCTCATCCTTCAGCCCATCTTTTCATAATATTTAATTGAATTGATCCAGTGTTTCAGACTGTCCTTTGACTCTTCCTTACATCCTACACCTTGTTTGCTCTTGCTGGTCTTCAGCTTTTCTCTGGCCAACAGCACACAAAATTAAAATATGTGGTTTGCTATTGAGTCAAATCTGCTGATAATTCAATGGCACACAGATCTCATTGCAGTAACAGGCACAGTTTAAAAAAAAAAGGTGGGGAAAACAAAAATATTGCAAGTGTTGGAAATAAGCTTTTATGTGTATGCTAAAGACATCAATTCCACCTTTCCACAGCCTTTTTCAACCATACAGGTTTTGGAGTGTTTGTTTAACATTTACTCTGAAATGAAGTACAATTTTCTAAAGCTAAATATTGATAAGACCAGAATCACTACTTTTGATATCTGTCACACACCTTGTACTCAGCATCCATTCCATAGCTGTATTGTTCCCTCCTGCTTTGTCTGTCTGGGATTAAATCCGGATGTTCTGAAACTTTGGTTTCATATTCAATCCCGAGCTGAACTTTCAATCTCTTGTCCTCTCTATTACAAAGCCCTTCTGTTTCTGTTTCTATTTCTGTAACATTTGTCCGTCTCCATCCATGACTTGGTTCCTAGAAATTTACAGGATACAAAGATGCTGATTATCCCGTCATGTTTGCGCAGCTAATGAGAAGCCAATCAACTGAATCCCACTTTCTAGCTCTTAGTCCGTGGCCTTGTTGTACAGGAAGTCGATTACATGTCCAAACCTTTGTAAAATATTTTGAATGTTTCTGCTTATGTTGGCCTTAGAGGTAAAGATTTCCAGGTCCTCACCATTCTCTGGGTGAAACAAATTTCTCTCAAATCCCCTCACCTCCTACCTAAATCTATGACTCCTGTTTATAAACCTGTCAACAAAGCAGAATAAGCTCTGTCCACTCTGCCTAAAAACTTCAGAATTTCATACTGTTCAATTACGTCTCACCTCAGCCTCCACTGCTCCAAATCAAAGGGTCCTAACCTATTCAGTCATTCCTTATAACTAATATTTGCTCACTTTGTAAATTTCCTCTTACAAATCACAACTTTATTATACTGTGGTGAGCAGAGCTGCAAACACTAATCCAGATGTGCCTGAAAAGTGTTTTAAATAGCTCCAGCATAAGATTCCTATTCTTGTACTCTGTACCTTGGTTAGTAAGGCAAGTATTCCATATGTCGTCTTGACAACCTTATCAGCCAGCTTTAGGGGTCTGTGGGAATGCACACCAAGGTTCATCTATTCTTCTATATGTCTACCATTTATTTTATTTTGCCGAATTCATCTTTTGCCAAATATATTGAATTACATTTTTTTCAGATGGCACTCCACTTGCCACTATTCTTTCTACCTCACAACTGCATTAACCTCTTCCTGTCATCTACAGCTTTCCTTCTAATCAACCATAACATCTATCCCTGAATTATCTGCACACTTCTAAATCATACCCCAGCAATCAAATTCAAATCGTCGCTGTGTACCCCAGAAAGCAAGGACATATTACTCTGCCCTTCAGAGCTATAGTGGAAACAGGCATCCCAGCATAATAAAGATGCCCATTGACCATTATCCTTTGCTTCCTTACTCTGAGGCAGTTTTGGGATCAAACTTGTCATTTTGTCATGCATCCCTCAGACTGTTACTTTTATGACCATTCTGCCTTAACAAAAGCTTTGCTAAAAGCCAAGCACAAACCTACAACTCCATCAAATGCACACTCCGCATTGACCCTGCTTGTTATTTCGTGAAAAACAAATTCAGTCAGATACTCAGACATGATCAAACTGTCTTTGATTAATTTGTGCCTCTCTAAATAAATAAATAACGCTTGCCACTTGCCCAGCTCCATTCTCTTAAACTGAATCCAGAAATTATCCCTCCCTTGTTGGTGTTGTGATATACTGGCTAAAAAGGTTCAGCAATTTATTTTAAGAGTTCTGCTTCCTCTGTGGCTTTCCACTAATTCTATTCCAGTTAATATTGGTTCAGTTGAAATTCCCCATCAACGCTACCCTATTGTTTAGATCTGCCCAGAGGTTTACCTCTGTATTTTCTCTTCTTGGTCTTGCTGACCGCTGGAGTTTATTGTACATTTTCCATAGTTTGACTGTCCCTCTTGAGCTCTTCACTTTCAGCCATAAGACCCTTTTAAAACTGTAAAAATGCACACCAGTGTCTGTGAAGCACTTTTAGATGGTTTTCTGCAATTACAGTGCAATATAAACGTAAATTGTTGTTAGGTTATTGGTGCTTAGAACTTTGTACAGTTAGCAGCAATTAGTGTTGAGGAATTAAGAGTCTCGCAGAAGAATATTTAAAAAAACAGTTTGTTGCCTTCCTTGTGCTTATTCCTTTAATGGAATTGTAATATTGCATTCAATTTACCTTGTGACATCACTTTAAAAGGTTTGCACACGTGCAGTAAGACAGCACTAATCAAAACACAGAATAGTGCTGATGTTAGAAATCTGAAAAAAAAAGATAGAAAGTGGTGGAAACTGTTAGCATGCCCAGCTGGATGGAGAGAGAAATTGTTATCATTTCAGGTTGGTGACTTTTTATCAGAAGTGGAAAAAGCTAGCAATGGAGTACAATTTAAACAAGGGTTAGATGGGACTAGGATAATGGAAGGTGTGTGATGGGTAGATGTCATGAAAAATTGAATGACAGAAGTATTAGGCTTTCAAAGCCAAAGGGAAAGGTGATGGGGCAACAAGATGTGTCTACAGCAGGTGTGCTGCTAACCAAAAGAAAAACTGAGAAAACTAAGACATCTAAACAACAGAAATCAAAATGGGCAGCACATGATTTGAAATGCCTTTAATTCAGTGAGTCTGGAACATTCTAAAGTGCTTAATTGAAAGTTACCTGTGATGAGTTTCAGTGAAATGGTGCAGCAGACCAAGGACACAGATGATCGTGTAAGAGATACCATAAGACATAGGAGCAGAAGCAGGCCATTAGTCCCATTACCCATTGAGACAGCTCCACCATTTGATGATATCAGGGCTGATCTGATAGTCCTCAACTCCACTTCCCTCCTTATTCCTATAACCCTTGATTCCCTTACTGATTAAAAATCTGTCTATCAGCAAGGTGTAGAATTAAAATGACAGGCCAACAGCAGCTGGGACTCATCCTGCAGGCTAAATGGAGGTGTTCTGAAAAGTAGTCACCCAGTCTGCCTTTGGTCTCTCCAGTGTAGAGGTGACCGCTTTGTGAACAGTGAATACAGAAGATTAAATTAAAGGAATTGTATCTGAATTGCCGCTTCAACTAGGGGGACTGTTTGAGGTCTTGAATGCTGAGAAGAGAGGAGATAATACAGGTGTTACGTCTTTTGTGTTTGCAAGGAAAGGTGCTGTGATAAGGGGATGGAATGCTCCAGGTATTTGAAGAATGGACTCTGGTATTATGGAAGGAACACCCCCTTTGAAATGGCGAAAGGGGAGAGAAAAATAGTTGGTGGTGACAGCATGCTGGAGATGGTGGAAATGATGGAAAATAATTTGTTGAATATAGAGATTGGTGATGTGGAAGTTGAAGAAAAAGTGAATCCTATCATGGGAAGGGGTGAGAGCAGCATTGTGGGAAATGTAGCAGCCATGAGTCGAGAACTCTATCAACCATGGAGGCAAGAGGATCCTCAGTTGAGGAAAAGTCGTCATCTCAGAAACTCTGGTATGAAAGGTTACCTCATTTGAATCACTGCGATGGAGACAGAAACTGGCAGAATGGAACAGAGCTCTTACATGGTTTAGGATGTGAAGAAGTGATGTTGTAGTAGCTGTGGCAGTCATTGTGTTTATAATGAATGTTAGTTGATGGCCTATTGCCAGAAATGGAGACACTGAAGTTGTGCAAGGGAAGAGTCGGAATGAAACTAAAGGAAGAGCGAAAATTGGAATCAAAATTGAAGAAGTTTTCTGATTCAGGGTGAAAACAGAACATGACATTGATACAGTCATCAATGTACTGCGATAAAAGTTCAGGGAGAGGTCCACTAAGGAAGATGAGAAATGTTCCACCTATCCCATTAAAAACTATGGGGACGGCTAATACCCATACATACATTGATGGCAAAGCCTTTTATTTGGAAGAAGTGAGAAGGCAAACAATGTTAATGCTCATTGCAAGGCAAATTAAGGATAAAAATAAGTAAATGTTACTGCAGCTGCACAGGGCCTTAGTGAGACTGCATTTGGGGTACTATGTAAAGTTTGATCTCATTACTTAGGAAAAGATATTGTTGCATTTGAAGCAGTTAAGAGAAGGCGTACTTGACTGATTCCTGGGTTGAGGGGTTGTCTAATGCGGAAAGATTGATCAAGTTGGGTCTATATCCGTTCAAATTTTGAAGAATGAGAGGTTATCTTATTGAAATGTGTGATCCTGAGGGGATTTGTCAGGGTGGATGCTGCGGAAATATTTCTCATTGTAAAGTGTCTTGGATTAGGTGCGCAGTTTGAAAATTAGGCACCTCCCATTAAGACTGAGAAAGAGAGAATTCTTTTTCTTTGAATGTTGGTGAACTGTGGAATTTACTTCTCTAGAGAACAGTGGACGTTGGGATCTTTGACAGGGGAGTTGAAGGGTGTGAGGGTTTGACGAGGAAGTGGAGTTCAGGACACAATTAGGTTAACTGTGATCTTATAGGTTGAGGGGTGGGGTCAAGTCACTGAATGACCTACTGTTGCTCCTAGTTCTTGAGTTCTTGAGAGACAAATTAAAGAAGAAATTGTTCAATGAGAGATCATATTCAGCCAGGCAGAGGCTGATACTAGATCGAACCGGGTCAACTTTCATTCAAGGCAAATGTGGAGAGCCCTCAAACAATTTTGATGGGGAATGGAAGTGTCGAGAGGTTAGACTTCCATGGTAAAGAACAAATGTTTAGGGCCATTTGTGATGGATGGCATCAAAAAGATGAGTTGGATAAAGACTAGATGAGGAGAAATGAGGGTAGGAAGAAATCAAAGCAAAAGACTTTAAATGTTGTGAATCTGAAGTAAAAACGAAGTGCTGGAATTACTCAGCAGGTTTGCAGCAATTTTGGAGAAAAGTATTTAATGTTTTGAGTTGAAAATGACTGGGAGATAGCAGTTCTGTGGGGCAGGGACAGGCTGAAACGGTAGGTCTACCAGGAAATTCCTGTTTATAGATTGTGGGAAGGACGTACAAGGTTGCTGTGAGCAGTTTGGTAACTGAGGTGGGAAGCCAAGAATTGAGGATCGCCAGAGGAAATCAGGCCAATAAATGTTTAGAAACAATGGTTTGATGTTTGGTGGTGGGGTCATGATCATGGCGGAGGTAGGAAGAGATGTTGCAAAGATCAATTGATCTAAAACTCTAATTCAACCTTTAGTGATACTTGTATGCTTAGTTTCACTGTGGTTTGTTTTGCAGACTGAAAGAATTATTTTATAGATCCAGTAACTTACAATATTTCAAGCGGCTGATTCAGATTCCGCAGCTCCCGGAGGTAGGTGCTTTTTGAAGATTAAAAATAGACTGCTTTGCCATTTATGCACATTCTGTGGAAAATAAACATTTGAATTCTTTCTGCTGTGAAGGAGATGATAACACCAGCACTAGCACCAGCTGATGTGTGTTCAATTGGCAACGCACAGACTGTTTTCAAATCTGTCTCATACTATTGCAACTTATAAGTAGTGAATACAATAGAATCACTGAATATTATGGATTAAAATGCTAAATGACGCCAATACACATTGAAATATGAATTTCTCAGTCTTTTGCGTGACAGTGCTATGGAACGATTGCTGCATTTATCATTGTAAATCACGAAAAGCTAGCATATAAGTTATATGTATGTAACTGTGTGTAAATCTAGAGGAGGCGATGGCCTAGTAGTAGTATTGCAAGGTGAGCATGTTGCAAAATGAGAACATACTGATTGATTCGATGTTTCTGTAAGATGCTTGACCATAGCCCAGCATCACTGTTTGTTGGGTAACAACCAGCAGGTAGGTTGCCTTGTCTTGCTTGGAAAGACCTCCATGCCTGTAAACAGTATGCCAGGCAGCATCAGAGGAGCAGGAAAGCTGACATTTCGGGTCGGGACCCTTCTTTAGAAATGCCCACAGCTGACGTCGCTCCGCCCACCGCCTCCACAGCCGCCAGCTCTATAGCCAACCCCAGCCCCAAACCCTGCTGCGTCTTCACTATCCCCCCAGACCTTCCCCTCACTGAGGATGAACAGTCAGTCCTCAGTAAAGGACTCACTTTCGTCCCCCTCCGCCCACACATCAATGAATACCGTTCACTCTTGGATGTCGAATAGTTTTTCCTCCGCCTCCGTGCCTATTTAACCGTGAGTCTAACCCACCCTCTACAGATCCCTTCTCCCGCCTCCAACATACCCCATCCTCCTGGACACCACCGGAAGGCTTCCTACCCTCCCTCGATCTCTTCATTTCCAACTGCTATCGAAACATCGATCGCCTCAACCTCTCCATCTCCATCACTCACTCCAACCTCTCCCCCACAAAACATGTAGCCCTCCGCTCCAACCCTAACCTCACTATCAAACGCATGGACAAGGGAGGTGCAGTTGTGGTATGGTGCATTGACCTTTACATTGCCGAAAAGATTTCTGAAGAAGGGTCCCGACCCAAAACGTCAACTTTCCTGCTCCTCTGGTGCTGCCTGGCCTGCTGTGTTCCTCCAGCTCCACACTGTGTTATCTCTGACTCCAGCATTGGCCATTCTTACTATCCCTCCATCCCTGTAGGTGTTCAGAGCATTGTGTTATGTTGTGTGGCAGAACAAGCATTTTGTCAGTTTCAAGTTTGTCGAAACAAGAGGAATATGGCTGCAAAATAATCTTTTGTGGATAAGAAATAACTTTTTTATGCTGATTGTACTGTGTGGTGTGACAAGTAAAATTATAAACATCAAAGCAAAGGTGGGCAATTTAACTTCACAAGCCTGCAGTATCATTCATTGAGATCATGACTGATCTGTAAAGTTACTTTATAAAATTACTGTTGTACAGTATCTCTTAAAATTATTGCTTAACAAGAACATAACAATCTCCAATGTAACAATTTATCAAGCCTCAATTATCATATGTGGAAGAGAGCTCCAAAAATCGAGCATCCTTCATTAGTCTTATTTAGTAATTTAACTATATAAATTGTTATTATTAACTATTAACTTTTTTTAAAAGAAAGCAAAAAAATAGTCATGGTGATTTTGGTGGTAGGAAGGCTGATCAGTTGTGTGTGATAACACTCCTCAGTAGGACAAAAAGAAAAAGAAAGACCAGTGGGGAGACTCTAATGGCACACTGGTAGTTTCCCTACCTCTGATTCAGGAAACCTGGGTTCAAGTCCTACTGCTCTGGAAGTGTGTAATAACATCTCTGAACGGTGTAATTAGGAGGTATCTACACTCAGGAGATCTTGAGAACGTGTATTTGGCCTGAAGTAAATCATAAACGCAAAAGGATAAAGGCTAACATTCTTTTTATATTTTTTCATAAATCTGTTCAGCAATATTATTACACACTTCTGGAGCATGTGGGACTTGAACCCAGGCCTCCTGGATCTGAGACAACAAGGTGCAGGGCTGGATGAACACAGCAGGCCAAGCAGCATCATAGGAGCAGAGAGGCTGACGTTTCGGGCCTAGACCCTTCATCAGAAAAGGGGGAGGGGAAGGGTGTTTTGAAATAAATAGGGAGAGAGTGGGAGGCGGATAGAAGAGGGATAGAGGAGAGGATAGGTGGAGAGGAAACAAACAGGTCGAAGAGGCGGGGATGGGGCCAGGAAAGGTGAGTGTAGATAGTGAGTTAGGAAGGGGATAGGTCAGTCCAGGGAGGACGGACAGGTCAAGGGGGCGGGATGAGGTTGGTCGGTAGGAGATGGAGGTGCGGCTTGAGGTGGGAGGAGGGGATAGGTGGGAGGAAGAACAGGTTAGGGAGGCAGGGACGAGTTGGACTGGTTTTGGGATGCGGTGGGGGGAGGGGAGATTTTGAAACTTGTGAAATCCACATTGATACCATTGGCGAAGGCAACCTTAAGTTTACCTGGACCATCTCTAACACCTCTCTCCCCTTCCTGGACCTCTCTGTCTCCATATCGGGCAACCACCTCGAAACCGATATTCATTTCAAGCCCACCGACTCCCACAGCTACCTAGAATACTCCTCCTCCCACCCACCTTCCTGCAAAAATGCTATCCCCTATTCCCAATTCCTTCGCCTCCGCCGCATCTGCTCCCAGGATGAGGCATTCCACTCCCGTACATCTCAGTTGTCCTCGTTTTTCAAGGACCGTAACTTCCCCTCCTCGGTGGTAGAGAACGCCCTCAACCGTGTCTCCCACATCTCCCGTACCTCATCCCTCACACCCCGTCCACGCAATAAAAACCAAAAAAGAATCCCCCTCGTCCTCACGTACCACCCCACCAACCTCCGGATCCAACGCATCATCCTCCGACACTTCCGCCATCTGCAATCCGACCCCACCACCAAAGACATCTTTCCCTCCCCACCTTTATCTGCTTTCCGGAGGGACAAGTCTCTCCGTGACTCCCTTGTCCGCTCCACACTCCCCTCCAGCTCCACCACACCTGGCACTTTTCCCTGCAACCGCAGGAAGTGCTACACCTGCCCCCATACCTCCTCCCTCACCCCCATCCCAGGCCCCAAGAAGACTTTCCACATCAAGCAGATGTTCACCTGCACATCTGCCAATGTGGTATACTGCATCCGCTGTACCCGGTGTGGCTTCCTCTACATCGGGGAAACCAAGCGGAGACTCGGGGACCGCTTTGCAGAACACCTACGCTCGGTTCGCAACAAACAACTGCACCTCCCAGTCGCGAACCATTTCAACTCCCCCTCCCATTCCTCAGACGACATGTCCATCCTGGGCCTCCTGCAGTGCCACAACGATGCCACCCGAAGGTTGCAGGAACAGCAACTCATATTCCGCC